TGTTCATGCCGTTGTGCTCCAGCCTGGGTGACAGAGTGAGATACTGTCTAAAAAAAAAAAAAAAACAAACAAAACAAACACAGTATAAAGTTTTACTGAGAGTCACAAAGGAATGCCTAAACAATTACAAAAACATGGCCGGTCATGGTTCATGCCTGTAATCGCAGCACTGTAGGCGGCCGAGGCGGGCAGATCACCTGAGGTCAGGAGTTGGAGACCAGCCTGACCAACATTGTGAAGCCCTGTCTCTACTAAAAATAGAAAAATTAGCCAGGCATGGTGGCCCACCCCAGTAATCCCAGCTACTTGGGAGGCTGAGGCATGAGAATCGCTTGAACCTGGGAGGCAGAGGTTGCAGTGAGCTGAGATGGTGCCACTGCACTCCAGCCTGGGCGACAGACGAGACAGAACCCTGTCTCAAAAATAAAATAAAATAAACAAGCAAAACAACAATAATTACAGAAACATGTCATGTTCACCGGTGAAAAGAATCAATATTGTAAAGATAATGGATTCCCACAAATTGATGATTAAAAACAGTGCAATACCAATCAAATACCACCAAGATTTTTAAATAGAACTTCACAAGAAGATTGCAAAATTCATATGAAAGAGAACATGTATAAAGATAACTAAGGACAATTTTTACAAGAACAAGGGCCCATCAAATATTTAAAATATACAATAAAGCCAGAGTAATGAAAAAGGTGATATTTGTATAAGAACGAAGAAATCAGTGAAAAGAATAGAGCAAGCAATAGACCCATGTTGGTCCTTTCTTCATGGGAATGGAACAGATGGCAAAAATGACATTTTATACCCATGGGAAAGGATAGGCTAGTTAGACAAAAAGTTTTGGGGAAAATGGATACGTTTTTGAGAAAAAATAAAGTTAAGTATCTCACAATATATAAAACTAATCCCAGATGAAATCTTGGTGGTAGAAAGGCTTTCTTAAGCAAAATTTAAAATGCAATAATCAGCTGGGTGCAGTGGTTCATGCCTGTAATCCCAGCACTTTGGGAGGCCGAGGCGGGAGGATTGCTTGAACCCAGGAGTTTGAGACCAGCCTGGGCAACACAGCAAGACTCTACAAAAAAATGCGAAAGTTAGCTGGGCATGGCGGTGTGTGCCTATAGTTCCAGTTACTTGGGAGGCTGAGGTGGGAGAATCTCTTGAACCTAGGAGTTTGAGGATGCAGTGAGTTATGATCACACCACTGCACTCCAGCTTGGGTGACAGAGTGAGAGCCTGTCTCCAGAAAGAAAAAATTAAAAAAAAAAAAAATCACAGGAACACAAAACTATCTATTAATATCTATTGATCTATCTATCTAGCATGTGTGTGTAAACAAGCAAAACCTGGAAGGACAGACTTTGTTTTGTACATTTGAAACCAATAGTAGAGCTTAAATTTGGTGAGGAGGGAAAGAATTGCAGGGGAGTGAAGGTGACATTTTTCTACACAGAGTTTTTGTTTTAATAAGAAGACATTCCAAGATAATTTATATAATTAAATTTTTAAATGACTTCTTTATTATTATATAAATATGTGGCAGGAAAATTAATAGGGAACATTTATTTTCTTTCTTAGACATTTTCAGCATTTTTTCCCCTGATAAATCTGTATTTTTTAGTAGCCAGAAAAAAATGCACCAAAGTGGTTTCCATTCTGAAATTATTTTTAATGGTGTTTGGCTCAACCAGCAGAATGATCCAGGCCCATCCGTGTCCTGGCCCAGGGCCCAGGCTCTCTCCCTGACAGCCAGCGAGGTGTTCTTGCCAGAGCTATCCCAACTGCTGCCTCCCTGGCTGCCAGCATCACCTTGGCTACCTGCAGAGACACTCCTGCCACTGCCTTGTTGGTGGGGAGAGCTCCCTCCTGTTGCAATGCTGATTAATATAAGATGAGTGGAAAAGCAAACGGAGGGCAAATACAGAGGGCCAGGCTGTGCAAAGGAGAAGTCTGTTTCTGCAGCATTGATACCAGGTCCCACATCAATCTTTCTGAATAACCTGGCCCTCGCAGTTTCTCTTTGGAGAAATTTGAGATACGTTTCCCAGCAGCTGGGTCAAAGGGCCTTTGGATGCAGCACCTCATTGCATATTCTTTCCCACCTGCACTGGTGTTGCAGACCATGCAGGGCACCTCATCTCTCCCCTACCTCAAGGGGTCTTCTCTGCAGAAGCTTACAGAATGGCTTTAGCTTTCTCTGCCCTCTATGTCCCCTACAACGTATTCTAGTAACTCAGTCCTGGGCCCTCCTGGCTCAAGGGAAGTCCATATGTCCATGAGTGGTTGCAGGAGGGTCGACCCAGCAGACTCACTGAATCACCTTTTCAGATTTGGTGCCTTCTTCCAGGTCTCTTGCCTGGGACCTTCATGTGCCTAAAAGTCTCTCTTGCTGTTTTATTTGAAGCATAGAATTGTAGCTTGAGTCTTTCCTCAGTTTATTTTGTGATAGATCCTCCTTACCAAGTGTTTATCGTGGTTCCAGTGTATGTGTTGGGGGAGGGGGGTGATTCTAAAGAACACTGCTTGTGAGTCACACTGCTCTGTTAATAAACCTGTTATGCAGGAAAACCCAGCTGAAAGGCAGATCTGAGTTGCTCACTCCCAGCTGTCAGTAAGTGGATACAATGGCCTTTTCATTGGGTATGAATTTTAGTCTATTATATTTTCTTTAGAAACTAAAATCAGCTGATGAGAAGTTAAAGTAATGCTGAGTTTGTTTCATAAGAAATAAAAACTCGACTCAGGAGGACCGCAGCCATTATTCGTGGCTCACATTCTCTAAATTTCATCTAAAAAGTTGATATTCCAGATTCCTTACATCTCTCCAAGATGCCTAGCATCTTATACACACAAAGATGGGGGATTTTTACTCAGCAAGAAAAATATGTATTTTCCTTTTTTTTTTTTTTGAGGAGAAAAATACTTATCTTTTCAACCTCATTAATTTTTATGATGGGTAAAATTTTTTCATTATATTAGTCAAAAAGACTCTGGACTGAATAAAGTATAGCACCCAAACCATTTAAAATGGCTTCCTGGCTGGAAAGACACTGCAGTCATCTCAGGGAAGTTTCTGGTCTTGGGAAAAACAAATGACCATTCAAAATGGGAAACTCAAGAATCCAGGCCTTGCGCACTGCTCTTTTTTCTCTGAAAGCTTTTGGAAGTAGAGCCACACTTTATTTACCGAATATGCACTTCTTGTTTCTTGTAACCATGGTGCTCTAGTTGAGTGCGTCTTATGTCAGACTACTGCTGAGCCAATATTTATCATTTTAGAAATTTCCATGAGTCATAAAACAAACCTGCAACCCTCTTGCTGTACCGTCTATGGGTGTTTCTTTCCTAGAGTTGTTTAAAGTAAAAAGAAAAAAGTGCTGAACCTAGAATCCAACACTTGACATTTATCAGAACACTGATATACTTTCTCCTGCGTGGAGGCTGCTTCTCTGAAATTTCAAAAACCATTCAGCTCACATCCAAGGTGTGCTGCCTGCTGCCTGAGGTGCCCTGCCTGCCCAGGACTCCAAAACCCTCTCCAGAGGGCCAGGTCTGGGCTGAGAAAGGAAGCTTTAGAGGTTTGCAGAAAGGAAGTGACTCACTGGCTCAAGGGGTGGGAGGGAAGGCTTTCCACAGGATACAGAATAAAAATGAGCAAGCAATTCCTTCCACCTCCAGCGTGGAAATTTTTACTAGGGGACCACCTCTTAATGACTGGGCCTGAATTTAGTGACCACTCACCTCCACTCCCACTTCCAAAAAGAAAAGTAAAGAAAAAGGAAAAAAAAAAAAAAAAGCAGGACCAATTGCAAGATGTGACGTGTTTGCCTCATTTACCAGTAAGGATGTTGAAGCTAATGCTGTTTGCTCCCTTTGTGTCAATCAGCTCCCTTTCCACAGACATGGATAGTTGGGAGAACCACATTAAGTCTACGATACAGAAAACTACAGCAACTTATTGCTTTTGCCATAAAAAAAAAAAAAAAAAACCAAAAAAACACAACCCTCTAGGGCCCTGTTTTGTCTAGAGCCCAAGGCCTAGAGTTTATAAATCAAAATTTAAGAGCCTGCCTTAGTATTACTAGAACAGGATACTTCACAAATTGCTAAGACTGTGCCAGGCACTCAGTATCTCTTCTGTGGAGTTCAAGCATCACCTTTTGGAGCTCTAAACTAAAGGCGTCAAATTAGTCAACATCTTGAGTTTACAGGTGAACCAGTAAACCAGTATTGGTCCATGGCCTGTTAGGAATTCGGCGAGTGAGCATGACCACCTGAGCTCCACCTCCTGTCAGATCAGTGGTGGCATTAGATTCTCACAGGACTGGGAACCCTATCATGAACTGCTCATGCAATGGATCTAGGTTGCACGCTCCTTGTAAGAATCTAATGCCAGATGATCTGACGTGGAACAGTTTCATCCTGAAACCACCGCGCCCCCACCATCCCCCTGCCGCCCGTCTGTGGAAATATTGTCTTCCACAAAACCAGTCCCTGATGCCAAAAATGTTGGGGAACTCTGATCTAGAGTTGAAGACCTCACCGAAGGACTGGTAATGGAAATACTGGAGCAAAACAGTTACAGTAAAAGGCACTCAAATTTCAAATCATGACCATTGGCCTTTGGCTATCTGTTTTTGGTGTTTGTTTTCCTTGAATACAACTCAGAGTTCCCTCATTAGGAAGAGCTGGCTTTCTTATGGCTGAACCATCATTTGACATCCCTCCTCCTACCCCCAAGAAGACAGGAAAATTAGGAAGTAAGCCAGAGCAGATCCCAAAAAAATAAAAAAACAAAAAGGAAACCCATTACATATCTACATCTATCTTATGTATCTTGGTCCATAGGGTCTAATTTTTTTTGGTAGGAACATCAGGCATGCTCTTCTTCCAAATATCCAACTTTGAATAAACTCTCAAGCCATCTCTTCTATATTCATATTCGCCAACATAAGTGAGGAATGATGTCATTAACAAACACTCACTTCCTTCCTCTGTGGATGCTCCACTCATCAAAGATCCAGTAACATCTCCCAGGTGTGATCTGCTGCACCAGGTAGGATCCTGAGAATTCCCAAGGGAACCTGGGCCAAGTTTATCTTGGCATTTCTGTTTTCACTTGTGATCTCCTTATTCATCTTCATATTCCTGGTAGCTAACACGGCCACAGCTGGCACACAGTAGGACTTCAGGAAACATCCGTCAAATCTAAATGAAAAAATGTTCAATTAGATTTGACAGTGGCTTCCCATTGTGAATATAAATAAGATGTCCACCTGCATGTCTTGGTATCACCTCCATATCCCAGCAGGGCTTCAGCACTGCCCTGACATTACCTGGCAGCCTCTGGGGTGGGCCCTTTACTGGTTCTGAGTTTTTCCTGCCTTGCAGTAGCAGTGGGTGAGGCAGAAGTCTACAGAGAATAATGGGATGAGCTGGGGAAAAATGAGTCCCAACCAGAGAGCTTGCCACGACCAGCCCATTGCTGTCTGTGACATGCTTTTTCCTCCTCTGACTGTCACTTTCCTCCCTTTCTTAACCACCATGTGAACCAGTCCTTTCATTGTTTCTAAAGTGACTTATTCTGAGCTTTTAGAAAAGCTCTCTTGTTTTTACATGTTAAGGTTTAGAGTGAAATTTCTAGTCTTTTCATTCCTATCCTTCATGATTTTATGACTTGTGATTACACTCAATCCTACATGCTGAAGAGTCTGAACTCATTTCATCTTTAAAAAAATACTCCATTTCCTTGTTTGCCTCTTTCTGAATATTTTGTGGTTCATTTTTCTTTCTCCGGAAGTACAACAACCAGATCAGAAGTGTAAAAAGAATGTATCATGGAGGCTGGAGCGGTGGCTCACGCCTGTAATCCCAGCACTTTGGGAGGCCAAGGCAGGCAGACCATGAGGTGAGGAGATAGAAGCCATCCTGGCTAACACAGTGAAACCCTCCCCCCCGTCTGTACTAAAAATACAAAAAAATTAGCCAGGCACGGTGGCAGGTGCCTGTAATCCCAGCTGCTTGAGAGGCTGAGGCAGGAGAATCGCTTCTACCCGGGAGGTAGAGGTTGCAGTGAGCCAAGATCGCACCACTGCACTCTAGCCTGGGCAACAGAGCGAGACTCTGCCTC